TCAATTATTTTTGACTGCATGAAAATTTATAACTGCTATTATATGTCTTCTACATCAAAACAATGATTATTTATATAAACTATCTTCTTAATTTATTCATTAGATGTATATCCTACCTTTTGTATAGGAGCTCCAGGAGGTGTGTAGTTACATAGTGCTTACTCTTCCTATTTTTCACCAGAAAAATCAGCAACCATCTTGGGGGAAGGTTGATTTATTATTGTTGATTTGTGGCAACTATTGTTTTTATAATTTTGATTTATTTTGTGTATTCATAATTTTAACTTGTTATAATCCAAGCAGTGTCTTTTGGATTGGATAGGTTATAAAAAAACTGTTAAATAAACATATGGTTTTCAAGTTATCAGTTTCCAAGGAAGATTGTACTTTCTTCAGTAAGATCAGCAATACTATAATGGAAATTTTTCCAGAAAGCCATCTTGATCATTCATTGTATACCTTTCCATGCAGCGGGAGAAGGGGTTGAATCCTAGATTTTTTTCACATACAGAATACACACCTCTGGGGTTGTAATGTCTAATGATCTATTGTATATGGCGATGCTACACTTTCTCTAGAGCAGTGTTTCTCAAACTTGGCAGCTTTAAGATGTGTGGACTTCAACTCTCAGCACAGCTGGCTGGGGAATTCTGAGACACATCTTAAAGTTGCCGAGTTTGAGAAACACTGCTCTAGAGGGTGCTAAGTAAGAAAACATCAAGAACTGATATTATAACTCCTTTCGTTATTGCTAGATGTGACCTTGAAGCCTAATTCTTTCTGTAGCTACACCCATTTAGCCTTACTAACCTCTTCTATTACGTGTTCACATTTCTAACATAGTGACACATAAGGTAATATGTGGGGTAATATAAAAAAAAACCAGCAAGTATTGCCAAGAGTTTTTAAACTTTAAGTCTAATTATTAATTTAGTCATGTATATGCTAAATAATATTTTAAAATTCAATAAACCACAATTCTTCTCTAACTGCTGCTCTCCAGAAGTGTGAAACCAGCTCCCATCCTTCAACCTATCCAGAAAATATAGGAAAGATGCCAGATTGGGAAAGGCTGATTTAAACAGTATTCTATTTGAGGAATTTATTCTTGTTCCATATTTTTGCTGGTTAAGTAAGTGTTCAAGAGCATGAGAATCTTCTCTCGGTAGTTCAGACAGGAGCTCCACTTGCCTCATAACATCGAGATACTAAAACAGTTTTTTTACAGTGGAAATACTTTGTATAATTCTTCCACTCCAGCATAACATTTTGCTTCCAAATACACAGCAAATGCTGTGTGTCATGGTCACCATGTTCCCCAGCAAGGAAAAAAGATGCTTCTCACTAATTCTGCAACTCTGTCTCATTCTCAATTCCCTTTTTACAGACTGTACTGTTCCCCAAAGAAAGTGAGATTCCAAATCACTATACAACAAGCTTTCTTCAAACAACAACCAACAACAGTTGACGATATTCAAACAGCCCTCCTGACAGCTCTCCCAGCTCAGATCTCAACACCTAGAGCTTTGTCTTACTCTTTCTTTAATGTCTTATCCCAGAATAATATCCCAGAATATTTTTAGGAGCTCTCCAGCAAGCACACGCCCAGGCATGTATTTATGCCAAGTGAAAAGTTTGAACAAAAGCTGGTGATGGGATTATTACCAGGCTGACCTTCCTGAAACACAAGAAGTAATATGAGGATTTTATGAAAGTTGTTGTACCTTCAGAAAAGGTAGCCCTACAATATGTCCTTTGATACTGAAGCTCAAGCTTAGATACTTTGGCCACCTAATGCGAAGAGAGGACTCCTTGGAAAAGACCCTGATGCTGGGAAGGATTGAAGACAAAAGGAGAAGAGGATGGCAGAGGATGAGATGGTT